GTTCTCATCCCTGGCCATGCCTTGTTACCGAGTCGCATTCCTCGACTGGCTATCTGCCTCAGCACTCAACTTTTGATGAAGCCACAGCTGGACCCATCATGCCGCCGCCGCATTGCCGACGCGGTCTTGCCCTGATTGACACTTAAGGTATTTGTACGGAGTATTCTGGTAATTAATCCTGTGTGTGGCACTGGTAAAATTCGTGCAGTCTATTTAGTTTTTTTCTTGCGGCGTCGCCTTCATCTTTCTGGTATTTGCTGGTAGGTGCCCTCCTTGTCTCCTTCTTCCTGCAGGCTGTGGTGGATAGATGAAAGTGGAGCCTATCCATTATGGTAAGTCCAGATGCAGACACAGCGAGACTTCTCTATCCTTTCTAGTGCATCTTCATAAATGAAAAGGAAGGAAAAATGTCAAAGGGTGCGGTACGGGAAGGCACCTCAGGCAAGGCACAAAGGTACATCTGGATCTGGCGTGAATGGCATGGTTGACCCACTTCAGAGACCCTTGTCCTGGGTTCTCGATCACATCATTGGCCCATTTTGTCGCCAGCCTCTGACTCCACTCTCCTTGATTGGTCAGGCGCTCGCCTTGAGTTGGTAGAGTTGGGTGTGGAAGTGGAACCATGGGACTGTGGGTGGTGTGCATCACGACCGTCGACCTGGCAGGACCTGGGCCTTGTCTGGCGGCCTGGCCTTGTCCCCATCTCCACTTTCTTTGGGCTCCCCTGGATGGTGCACCTGCTTGGTGCTTGGTGTTTGGTGCCTGCCCTTTCACACCCTTGTCTGCCCTGGCCGTCCTGGCCAGTCCTGGTCTGGTTCCCTCCTTCCCCCTCTCTCTCTCCTCCACCTTCAACCCACCCCCGTCTCCTGCCTATCCGTTCCATTGAGTGTCTCCTGCCGCTCCATTGCTCCTGCTTCAGTGGACTGGACTCTCTCTCACTCTCTCACGCTCTCAAACTGGCAACAGCGACTGACCGGGCTGCAACTGCAACTGCTCGTGCTCTGCCCCTGCTGTCGCTGCTTCCCCTTCTTCTCTTGCTGAGTGCTCCTGCTGCCGCCGCTGCCCACACCACTGGACCACACCTACCATCCACCCCCTTGCCTTCTTTGCCTGTGCTTCGTCCACTCCTTCCCTCCCACGCCGCCGCCGCGGCACCCACCCACACCACACGCACCACATCCCATCTCCATATCTTGCCGTCCACTCGCTGCCCGTCTCCATCTTCTACTTCTACTTTTGCCCTCTCTTCCTCTCGTTAGCTCACCGCCCTTCTTTCTTTCCCTCCTTCAACCTTTCTCTCCCCCTCCTCTTTCCCCCCGCCGCTCTGGTCTGCGATTTGTTCGTTATCGTCGTCGTCGTCTTTTGGAAGGATAAAAAGGAAAATTCAAAGAAAACAAAAACAAAAAAAACAAAACCCCCCACAAAGCCCAAAAGCTCTCGCATTCTCTTGAGATCCGTCTCGCATCATTTTTTCCAACCAACCGCACAAATTCTTCAGGGGTTCTGGAAGGCTTGCTCACCAAAACCACTCCGCAATTACGCGCGACCACAACACGCACAATTCTCCCCCATCCTCCGAAAGAGACGAAATCAAAAGGAACAAAAAGGAATCCGGACCATCCCGTCAGCAATCGCATTGTGCATTCTGCATCCTGTCTTGACCATCGACACAGCACTCCCAAACCATCAGAGAAAACACTTTTTAATCGACTGTATTCTACTTCGACTTCGTCCATCCGTTTCTTCTTCGCAACAAATACATCAGAGAAAAAGTCCACTTCGTAATTTTCAGCATCGCTTCGTCTCCGACACAAAGCAACGCAAAATCTCCCAGGCACAGGCAGATCATCAGGTTCGCAGCTACCCCAAAACTATTCGGTTTCTTGAGGAAGCTGCATTATCCCTAACTTTCTCTCTTGCCAACTTTGCAGCGATATCCCTCACGCTTGCGCCTTCGATCTCGGTTAAACAGAAGAATTGGTTCTTTGTGGTCCGCACCTCTTTCCTCGACCACAACCGCTTCTTGCCAAGTGTCTCCAGACGCCCCAGCGCTGTCTACACACCTTCATCGGCATCACATTGTCGCCCACTCTTTCATCATTACAATCATTTTTTGTCTTCCCTTGACCTCGACGCCCGGTTACGCGACCACCTAATCTCACCCACCAACCACTCCGTCAATCGATACCATCCGAATCACTGCCGAATTTTGGATTTCGACTTTTTGGCACCTTCAACAACTCCGCCGGCACCCTTTTGCTACAATTCCAGGACTAGCTCCGGATTTCGTCAAGGATCGCTCGGATACAAACCTGCCACCACGGACAGAACTGCCAACCGAGTATCACAATATCTCTCTTGACAGCCTGCGCTCCGCATTCTTCCTCCGCTATCCTTCTTGTAATTCGACCCGGTCGCCTCAGCTGCTTGCAAGGCTTCCATACATTCTTTCTCAATTTTCCGAGCCTTGAAAACTCGGATAACCCAGCAATTTCGCCAGCTCATTTTCGCGACCGAAATCGTTCCCGTCTGAGCAATGGACGCAGGCGGTCTCGCTCAAATGAACTCCACAAACTTCTCAGGCAACAGCCTCGCCATGCCTGGCGGAGGGCTTGCCTCGCGCCGCGGTGGCCCCGTCAAGCCTCTGTCGCTGTCCAGCGCCACTCCCGGTAGCAACGCTGCCGACAATGGAGCGCCGACTCCCCGTACTAGCCGCTCGCATCTTCTTGCTGGTTTGAGAACGGCTCCGAAGTCCGCTACCGCCGCCAACTTTTCTGCTACCAACAACGCCAATGTTGCTTCGCCCACGTCGCAGTCTTTTGCTGCTAGGAGCAACAATCTGAGCTCCAACATGTATGCCCAGGCCCAGGGTAACCAGTACAACGGCCCCAAGACAGCCCTTCCTCGGTATGCCGGTCAACAGCAACAGCAGCAGCAGCAGCAGCAGCAAGCGTACCAGTCTGTTCCGTCCAGCCAGCATTACAGTGCTGAGCAGGTTCTTGCTCCTCCTGAGATTCACTTCGACGAGCAGGAACAGATGGACCCGAACTTGTACGCCCAGTTGGTTGCCACCAACATGTACCTTGCTCAACAGCAGCAGCGTCTTCAGCAACAGCTTCTCAGTGTCCAGGCCGCCGCTCAGCAATTCCAGGGCCTGAACTTGCAGGGCGCCCAGCAACAGATTCAACAGCAGCAGCTCGCCATGTACCAGCAGCAGCAACAGCTTCAGAGCATTCAGCAGTCGATGATGGGACAGATGCAGCAGCCCCAGCAACAGGTCTACACGTACTATGACCCTGTTACCCGCCAACAGGGCTATTACATTGACCAGGGACAAACCGACCAGCAGGCCCAGCTGGCACAGATTTACGCCGCCTTGGCTCAGCAGCAGCAGCAGCAGCAGCAGCAGCAAGCTCCTCGCGTCCAGGTGTCTCCTCCTCCTGAGAACCACGCCACTCCGTATCGCACTACCACCCCTCCCAAGCGCTATGAGTCGCCCTCTGAGGTTGCTCCTCTGCCTCCCCCATCCGCAAATGCCTTCCGCCGTGGCCATAAGAAGGTCATGTCGCTTGCTTTGAACGGTAACAACCAGGCCAGTCTTTCACCTTCCCAAGAGCCTCCCAAGTCTGCTGGCCCCAAGACGGCTTCTTTCCCGTTGACGCCTCTGACCGGCGGCTATGGACCCGGTCAGGGACGCGCCGGCGAGCATCCCATTCGTCAGCCTCGCGGACCCCCTTCCATTGAGGAGCTCAAGGCCAAGCCCATTGCAAAGATGGAGGGCAGCAAGAACTTTGCCACCCGCGCCCGCCGATCTGCAGTTCACAACCTTGTCCGTGCTGGACGTGAGCGCAGAAAGGGTCCAGGTAGTTCCAATGGTAGCATGAGCCCGGTCTCAGAGAGTGCCGAGGAAGAGTCTGGTACCCCCATCACCGACAATGAGTCCGACTCTGGTCGCAGTGGATCCGGCAGCCTTGCCGGCGATATCGACTGCTCCCTGCCTAGCTCAAGAACTTCGACCAACGGCAGCTGGGGAGCTATTGGCTCCGACCGCCCAAGCTCCCGCCAAAGAACTCGCAAGAGCGTCGACAGCATTGGCAGCAACGAGAGCGGTGAGAACAGCTTCGCCAGCGTCTTCAAGAACTCGGCCCAACGTGCCGGTGTCGAAGTAGCGGACGGACAGCGCAAGGCGCCCATGCTGGTCTTGACCAGCGCCGAGAAGCGCAAGAGCGGCATTCTGGCGTAGACTTGTTGGTCCTCGGACGTTACGACGACTATGCACACCTATGTCTTTCCTTATTGACGACCTGCTCGAGGGGGAGGTTGACCCTTTACCCCATAAAGTGCAGGACTGAACGATGGGTTGGACGGTCTGGCGCGCTCTTACGAATCATATGGTGTTCTTTTCAAGGGGTTAGGTGGCTCATTTTACATTTCAGCATCCGAGGCTTGGTTGACTCGCAAATTCATTTTCACTTCTTTTACATTCTTAACCAAGTCATCGGATTATCGACAGTCTCTCGCTACTGATATTCCTCGTATGACTCTGGACAAGCAACACCTCACAGGCTCACAACAGTCTTGAGCTGGACGGATCGAGAGAAAGATATACCATCGGGGCAGGGGAGTAAGGAAAGATTTGGGCCAAGCTTGGGTTTCTTTCTTCTCAAGTGAACATGGACCTTTGGTTCTGCGCGACGGGACTCGGAACTATTTCCTGAGATGGAATGGGATGAGCCCGGACGACGTGAGACGCTTGCTTTTCGTTTTCTCTCTACGGTCCTCGTGGGAATTCTTTACAGATAAGGCAAACACGCACAAATTCGCAGTCGTTTGGTCGGCGCTGGCTGGAAAGTCGGCACGATGATGATGATGGCGGCTGATAGGACAGGAATTATGGTTAGCACAGGAATAGGCACAATACAGATTGATGCCCAACATTTACCCCCGCCACGTTTACAGTGCCAAGTGATTGATTAAAACTAACATGTCCCCTCTTTAGTCTATGCTTTGTTGCCCGACTTGAACGATTCCGCCATCTTGTCAAACATCTTTTTCCTATCCGTCTCGACATGGGCAAAATTCTTTGCCGGCCCAACGATGATTTCATCCTCCTCCCCCTTCTCGAGCGCGGCCCACGTCTCGTCGGTGAATTCGTCCAGTGGCATACCAAAGTTGGCCTGGCCCGCCGTGACCAGGTCCGGCTGCTGGGAGTGCAGCTCCGTCTGCACCGCGGGCGGGACGACCTCGACGACGCGGATGTGGGCGGAGGACGGGCTCGACTGCAGCTGGGCGCGGAGGGACCAGGCGAGGGAGTGGAGGGCCGATTTGGTGGCGCAGTAGTTTGGGCAGCGGGGGATCGGGACGAGGGCTAGGCCTGAGGAGACGAGGACTATGGATGCCGTTGTTTGGGAAGTGCTGGTGTTGAGAGATTGGAGATGTGGGAGGAAGTGGGTGATGAGGTGGATTGGGGCGAGATAGTTTGTTGTTAACTCTGCTGAGACGGAGGGGAGGGAGATTGTGGAGGGGGAAGTGAAGTCTATGCTGCGTTGGATGCCTGCGTTGAGGATGATTGTATCTAGGGTTGGGTGGGTTGATGTTATTCTGGGAGGTTTGTTAGTCTTGGTATGCTGATCATATGTAAGATGCCGTAATACGGCTGTCTTCGATATGCCCCGGTGACACTACCCTGCCGGTCACTCTGGAGATGGGGGTCTGCACTCACTTCTCGACCCACGCCGGCAGGGCCTTGAGGTCGGCGATATCAAACGGCTCGGCGGCGACTTTATCGGCGCCGTGGGCGGAGACGAGGTCGTCGAGGCGGTCCTTGCGGCGGCCGACGGCGATGACAAAGGTGCCGTTTGCGATTAGGCGCTTGGCGAGGGCGAGGCCTATGCCGGATGTCGCGCCTGTGATGAGGGCTGTTTTGGAGGGGAAGGGCATTGTGGTTGTGGTGGTTGTGTGTGCGCTTCTGTGGTTGACGTCTTGGAGGGCTGGTGAGTTGTGAGGCTAACTATATTGTCGCGAGATTGGGAGGTGTATTGGGCATTCAATCCCTCTAATCGAAATGATAGTGAACGTCGAGCTCGTTGCGGGGTGGTGGTTGTTGTGAGGGTGTATGAGGTGTGAGGGTCATTGTGACGTTCCCCCCGCTTCCACAATCGCGGATCCGGTGGGGCCGGAGGATATGAGCGGGGGTGCAGTCGGCTTTCTTTGAGCGATGATACTCGGGACGATGTGACGTCGATAAAGGAGGTTCCGTGGAGGCGGATATCAGTGGGGGTTGTTTGATATTTCGGAGATCGGGCGATGGGGTCTTTGCTTTCTCCATCTGATGTTGTTGCTGAAGGCTTATGTCGATCGGACGGTCGCTAATGGAACTGAATGACTTGTGTAGGCGAGCGTCGTTGAGGTATACCTCCGCTATATTGAACCGCTATTTGCTCATATTGGTGTATTCATTTTGGCAGATATGTAGAGAGGAGATGAATGGCACTATGGTAAAGACTGTGGCCTGTTGTGTAGGTTGATTAGATTCTTTTGAGCAAGATGAGTGACTGGGCGAGTGGGTGCAACGAATGAAGAACGACGACGGCAAGCCGAGTTGTTCTACCACAACTATTGCTCTGAGCTACGTCACATGGAGCATCTGAAAACTGTTACAATTCTTCACATGGAGTCACCGGAGAGAACAGACGAGCAATGGTGGGCGGACTGGGATGACATGATGGCCAGCTGTTACTTCCGTGACAACCCTGTCGCCTTCTACACGCGGATTCTTTACCCCAAGTACCCGCCTTACGAGATCAACCCGGAAAACTACCTGAAAGTTGAGCGAGCCCACCGAAGAAAGCTGGTGGCAGAGCATCCTGACTGGTACGAGCAGGGCTATGAGGTATTCGACTCGGACGACGACGTCTGCGGACCAAATCACTTTCGCTAAGGCTACGGCCGTCGTGGCACGGGCTACATCACGCCTCCTTGATCGTCTATCGAATCTGGGAAGTCAGGGTTGTATGGCGCGCGAAGACATCGGGAAGTTGAGTATAGCGGCACTGGATCAAGTTGCAGAGTAGGTTAGTGGTTGGCGATGGTCAAGCAGGTCGACGAAGAAAGGAGGATCGTAATGAGGTAGATACCAAAGACATCAAAGAGGACTTAGGTCATACGTAGAAGTTTGGGAACTAGAGAAGACTCAGTATAGCGGTCTTGAGGCATTTGAGGCGAGTCTATTTCTTGAGGGCATCCTGAACGCGGAGATGGGCTTGGACTTCAGTCCACAAGGCTTCTTGGCAGAATTTTCGGACGACTTTGAGGATGTTACTTAGGCCGGGTATAGTGTCGATTATGGCGTAGTTGTTACTTTCTTCGATTTTTAGGGGAATAAATATTAGTGGAAACCCGACAAAGACTAAACAAGATGCCTTTCTCAATTTTGTAAAATCAACGTTAATCTCTTCTCAAAAGCTGAGAGCCTGACAGAGTTTTCGAACATGATTTCCAAGACTCATCTACATCTAGAAGTACGCGCTGACCAAGTAAGAGTCGAAGCCTTTTCGCGTGGCCTTGGCATCAACGGAGGGGTCGCGACCTTGGTACCACCAGGTCATCTCAATCGCTGGACAATAGAACTCGTCTCTTATTCACCTATGAATATTCTTAAACTTCTCACAAGGGCACAGAGCTGGGGTTTTATCATCGAGTCCTAGACCATCGTCGGCAACATTTACCGCCCGCCTAACCCATCTTGCCTTCTCCGTACTGAACATTTTTGTTTTGACAAAATCACGTACGACGAGAAAATCCCAACATAGCCAAGACCCTCATGAAAGAGGTCTTGGAATCGTAGTTGCTGGTAGGCATACCAAGTTCCCGCTTAGCGGCATCGATGAGCGTCAGCGCGTTCTGGCGCTGCATCTTCTCGACGTCATTGAACTTTTTCGCGGTGTCTAGTTCCTCGTTGAGACGTTGAATTTCCTTGGCTAATTTCTTCATCTCCTCCATCTGCATCAGCACGTATTTCTGGGCACGATCAACGTAACCGTCGTATTCCTTTGGATGTTCACATGTTAGCCAGTGCACTCTACACAACTTTGATTTCCACAGGCGGGACTTGGAGGAGGCCTAAGCTTCAGGTTACCGCTTGGAGTTCTTTAAGTTGATCTTCAAGATCCCGTATATCCCCTGCCCAGGACTGGCCCTTCCAAAGGGCTTCACCAGGCTCGGGGTCACGCCATGGCGTAGATGACATTGAATATGCGGCAGACGGTTCAGACGAGACCACCATGATTTGATGACCATCTTCGGAGCATGACGACTGCTCAGATTTGTCTAGCATTGTCTCTTTCCGGTTGGCTGCCTAGAAGTTGAAGGTTACTTGGAGATTGGGGCGTAAATTATTGTAAAATCCTCAGCTAGGCAGAATGGAGAGAAGAGATTTGGAGCGTCAGTTGGAATTCCGCGAGAGCTATGTGATAGTCGAGCCTCTTCAGCATCGATTGGTAAATTATGTTTAACCCGGTGAGTTACCGTTTACTTACTTATATTGGAAGAAGTACTTGTCGACACGTTGTGTTAGAAAGACTTGTTTTGAGCATGAGCTGTCCAGAAGCTTCAAACATTCACGCCTAGCAACATTACACTTCTAGAAAGTCGGCATGGACTCGTTACTTAGCCTCTATATACTTGGGATCTCAAATTCAGTGTTAAATTCCCATAAAGAGTTTTCTTGACAAACATGAAGCTCTTACTAACTAAGAGGGTTCGCATGAAACTGTATTCTCAATAAAAGATTACTAGGAGACTGTTACTAGTACACTCTTGACTTCTCGATTTTCTTTCTTCTCATTATATCGGTAGATCAGGTAGTTGCAAGACAAATTGAAGGCCCAAATTCCAAAAGGGATGTCAATGGCCGAAGCCGTTTAGAAATCTGCAAACTTATGTGCAGGCATATTTTCGTTCTTTTACCTTGCCTCTCTTCTATGGGCTGGCAACCACCCTGTGCTGCAACATCTCATACTTTCCTCGTATTCGAATGGAATACGTAGAGAGCCCTAGGACCAGAGCTTTGTGAATTGTACTGATTAATGTGGTCATATCTCGCGAGGAGATGTAAGATAGTGTACCACAGAACCAGCACTTACGAATCAAGCCTCAGCATTCGCTACAAAGTGGCTGGAGAAGGCTCAGCGTCATTTGGATCACTCTTTCACCAGTCCATTTCCACATGAAGAATAGCTTCAGTGCTAGATCTAGATTTCTGAAGAACCCCCTCAGAACTTCTGGTACGTTTCAATCACAACTCGCACAAAGCGATTCATCGTTAGTCAACCATAGGAAAGTTCCGTTGCTGAAGCCGTGATGGATGTGAGAGTCTGGAACATTTCCAGACGCGCACGTGCCCCCTACTGTAAGGTCCAGATGCCCAGGACAGGGGCGGACCAGGGGAAACTTGGCGCCGTTTGTTGCCCTGAAACTCCTGCAGCCACCACTCAATTTCCCTTTTGCTCCCGTCGAATGACGCTACGCGACGCCACTATTTCCCCAAAGTTCCATCCTCGATTGATTATCGCCAAGACGGAGAGATGGGGGCGAGGCGCTCTTGGCTCTGCTCCGAGCGTTACTCGGAAATAGAAACCGACTTCACGCCCACAACACGATCAAGAGCCCTCTGCAATCCGTCTGTCTGCTGTCATACCGGAACGCAGTTCACGCCATGGTGCCAGTTGTTCGAGGGGGGCGATTCGGCGTGCAGCAAGACCTTCGACGACATCTAAGAGGGCGAGGGTTGGAGCTGGCGGAGACGAATACCCATGTCGGGCGAGTCGGATGACATTGTCAGTCAGGATGGCATCGCCGTTCAAAAGACTAGTCACCCGAGAGCTCGAGCTCCCTAATGAGGAAGCTCTAGAAGCGGGCAGATATCTTTACCATCACGCAGCTTTCATTACATAGCAGTATCAGAGAATCAACTCTCACGGGCTGGCAACCTCAAGTCGCTTGAGAATGGACGCGGAGGCCAAGAGTGCGTACCATGGTTTTAGTAGCACGATGTTTCATATTTTGATCGTTGAGGCTGTACAGCCACTTTGCGCTTATCGCGGAGGCAAATTATTCAAGTAATGCAATTGAGATCTCAAAGTGCTGGCATTGCTGAGAACTGCATGTGGTATTTCCAGACATGTGACGTGAGGTGTTATTGATTACTTACTTTGTACTACAGTAGCATCATAAAAAGGATGAATCCTCCAATGCCAATTCGTCAACAAGGGGAAATGCCAAGAAGTGATATCTGCCCACTTTTGATATAACTCACAGCTTCCCCATTCATCGACTCATCCACAAAACAAACAGCATTTGCCAACCTTCCAATTCTCGCCATTCCATCGCAGCCAAATTTCGGTTTGTCGCCAGACTCCGCAAGGCCCGTGCAGGATCCTGCAAGGCCGGACGTAGCAAAGGCCGTTGCTCATTACTCTCTCGGATTACCCCCGCATCCCTCAGTAACACGATTTCGCACTTACATGGACCGTTGTCAATGATTCTCCTTGAGGGAGACAACTTTGAACGATATCCTTCGATGTTGAAGCATCTGTCTCGACAAGCCTTTCTCCTCACAATACCATTGCGTGTTTCTGCTGTGCCCTCGGAAGATTTCACTGCTTATTGTCCGGAACGGGCCGTCTGTGAAGCTGGGGCATATGCCGGGTCCCGCGGGTGTAGGTAGGTGCTGTTACTAAGCAACTTGACAACACAACAGCTATTACTTCTTGTCTTCTGCCAACCACCCACGGCACTCATTGTCGACAACTCTGCATATGTCTTCGATCCATCCAGGTACTCGAGATTAAGTTTCTAAGCGCCAGTCGCCTGACCAAAAGAGCATCCTTCCCAGCAAGCGAGCTGCTCGTCAGACGCCAAGAGATAGTAGGGTCGCAGCGCTTGATAGGTTGGATGCGCCGGCAAACCTCTAAGAGGTGGAGAATTGCCGCGCCAAGACACCAGTTGTTCAACGCTTGCCATTCATCTCCCAGTCGTTTCCTCGATACATGGGTTGAGACCACGGTCTCGCACCCGCAACTTGATGTTTCCACGGCCTACCTCCGTCCTCCGCGGGCCCCTCTTGGCCTTCCTAATACGCTCGGGTCTGTAAGCCATCATGCTACCTTCCCGAAGAGAGGGCCGACCGAAAGCCTCGTGGGCGAATAACCAAGTCGCCTGGCCGTCCGGCGCTGTACATCTCCGATGCGGGCGAGCATGTTCCCGTTGGCCTTCCGAATCTGAAGATACAGCCGCTCCGAAGCCGATGATCTGCACCTCATTTAAGCATAATGCAAAACTCAAACAAGCGTGAGAGGCGCTATTTGGCGAGACCCAGTGCCGAGCCAAGAGATCCTGCACCAGACCTCATTGACGAGCAGGCTAACAGCTCCCGTGCTCCACAACGGTTGCCCCAACTTCCCAAGTTGCCCCCAACACGCCCAACCTGATTCCTATCATGAGGATCTTGTACTCCTTCCTATTTAGCTATGCGTATACCATCACATCGCGGGGTAGGCGGTAGTCTCCGAAGGCACCTTGAAGGACTCACCCGACTAACACTGCTAGCACTTCGCGGGGTAGCTTCTTTCTCAAGTGCCTTTTGAGGAAGGCGGCGAAACCTCTGGTGATATCATGGCTGCAGTGACATCGCAGGGCGGATATCTTTTCGAGCGCCTCTTGTGGAACGCCCTGTTGATACCACGGAAACCTGCGGTGACATCGCAGTGCAGATGTCGTCCGAAGTCGCCTAGTGAGGAAGTTCCGCTGATCTCTTGGAAGCCTGCGGTCACATCGCGGGGCCGTTGTCTTCTGGTGTGCCTGTTGAGGAAGGCCCAGCTGGAATCAAGGAAACTTACGATAACATCACAGGCCGGCTTGGAGGCGAATTGGGAAGGAGGAGTTACACGATGGCTGGGGCGATGGAGGACTCCATCTTGAATAGCAAGTTAGCAAACAACAAGACCACGATTCTCGTCACGATCCTTGAGCCAAGACGAGTATATAAGTTTGCATCTTCTCATCCAGTCTGGAAGCTTTTTTGATCAGCACTCTAGACTCATCTGACTCTTCAGCAGCCTCCTAGACTCACCTCACTTCCCATCCACCCCGTTGTCTACCTCTTCAGAACGCCAATCATGGAGCTCACCAAGTTCCTCGGTTTCCTGGCCATGGTCCTGCCCATCGCCTACGGTGCCCCCACCTCGGCCGCGACCAGCCTTCACCCCAAGATCCTGGCCGCCATGAAGCGTGACTTCGGTCTGGATGCCGAGGCTGCCACCAAGCGCGTCGCCTTCGAGCACCGCTCCGCTGATGTCGTCGAGTCTCTCAAGGGCTCTGCTGGCTTCGCCGGTGCCTGGATCTCCGAGGACGGCACCACCCTCAAGGTCGGTGTCACTGACGAGGCCCTTGTCGCCGATGTCACCTCCGCCGGTGCCACCCCCGTCATCCTCGCCAACCCCCTCTCCAAGCTCGAGGAGGCCAAGGCCGCTCTCGATGCTATTGACATCGAGGCTCCCGCCCGCCGCGACGAGGCCTCGGCCTCCTCCGGCATCGCCTCCTACTTCGTCGATGTTGCCGCCAACAAGCTCGTCATCGAGTCCCTTGCCGGCAGCACCGCTACCGCCGAGTCCCTCGCCAAGGAGGTCGGCCTCGCCGCCGGCGAGTTCGAGGTCCGCACCGTTGAGTCGATGCCCTCCACCTTCGCCACCGTCCTCGGTGGTGACGCCTACCTCATCAACCGTGCCGCTCGCTGCTCCATCGGTTTCTCCGTCACCACCGGTTTCGTCTCCGCCGGTCACTGCGGTAGCGCCGGCGACACCGCCACCACCTCCGCTGGTGCCTCCCTCGGAACCTTCTCCGGCTCCGTCTTCCCCGGCTCTGCCGATATGTCCTACATCCGCACCGTCTCCGGAACCACTCTTCGTGGCTACATTGACGGATACGGACGTGGCGACCTCCCCGTCTCC